ATCGCTGATATCGTGAAAAGATCATACTTTTCTTGCCATGTTAACATTTGGATACAATAGCTTGTTCGTTCGTTGTTTTAAATCTCATGGCTAGATATCAAGAGTTGTACTGTCTGTATGTGAAAAACGTAAGCATAAAACATCATGATTTATATGAATTTTTTCGCAGCAATTTTAAGTAGAAATGAGAAATAGTTTTAAATTTACGATAAATGAGTTTATTTTCTGATCGGAGTTACGTCATTCTCATCCGAGAACTTATAAGAAAGGATTCTTGATAACAGGATAATTGATGTTTTTCCTGTTTCGGTCATTTTTTTCATCTATTACTTTAATTTAAGTTGATTGGCTGGATGCTGACGTCAAAATAGCGCGTTTATATCATTTGAAGGAGATGATTTCGTATTTTCTTCTAAATTGAGAGACAGTTCCTAATGATATTTCTCTGAAATGTCATGTTGTAGGAACATTTGCAAAATTTACACCAGTAAATAATATTGCCATTAAAACTGGTTGATTGTTTCTCTGTGCATTCCTTTCAGTGCCGAGCTGCAAGCAGCTAACATCAAATATATGGTATGTCAAGCCTTTGGGACAGAACACCAAGTCCCTCTAAAGGGCAAACGCTCAACTCACATGTTCATACTGAGACAGTGCCAATTAAAGATATTAGAAACGCAAACCTGATTGAAGGAGTTTAGAAACATATTTGGCTGTTAGGCGAAAGCACCAACCATGAACTTGTTTCATAACTTTGAGATTGGTTTTAAATAATCGCAAAAGATGTCATTTATTATTGCATAATACTTGTTCGAAAAGAATGAAAATATTGATCACACTACTGAATTATATCTTTTTTTAAAACTTAAATATACTCAAGTAAATATAGCAACGTTCGACAAGATCCAGCCAGATAGATATGCCGAATCATAAAATCAATTATATATATATATTTTATTTCCTAGAAGGAAACTATACACACACATATATATATATATATATATATATATGTATGTATAGTTTCCTTCTAGGAATTAAAATTGATGCTAGGGTACCAAAGTATGGGAATCGGAGGCTGAAATTTTATGAGGCAAATCATAAACATAGATAGCGAGGTGCTAGTCATGTCAATCAGGGATTTTAGTGTTTTTCCCAGTATTGAATTATTCTAAAAGAGGGCGAACGCGTGCATTCTGAGCCATTCTCTAACTGAAAAGTAGTATTCAGGATTACTTGTCTATCAACAGCGCTTATAATAAAATCACTATAGTAATAAAAATGGTACGATTATAAATCGTTGTAATAAGTATGTGGATTCGCCAATGAAAAGTGAAAAGGTGATATTGAACGTTAGCCACAATAAGGCGATATTACGACTATGGAGTGTTGGTATTATTTGGATGCTATAAATAGATAAATGGCGTCTCGCACTGCACGTACATCTGCTTTGTATAGGGTTATTAAGAACGTAGTGTTTCCATATTTACATTGTGATATATATATATATATATATTTATATTCATATCTATGTTATATATCTGACCTTTGTCCGCACCTTTTGACCTCCAATAAACCGGTACGTGTGGGCAACCAGGCAGTGGAAATAATTGCTTAACACAGAAGTTCTGCCTTTAAATCCGAAATATTTTCAGATATGTGTACACACCGTCTTGAAACTTATCCTCTGCATTTTCATCAAAGTATCTCTGCCATTGCTAATCAGATATAATCTTTGAGAAACTAAACATATGACCGCTAGTTCAGTTTGTAGTTAGCTCTCTTGAAATGTTGTCGATTTGTTACTGACAAACAGGATAGACGTTATAATAAGTAGCTTCCCTCTTAACTTGTACTGTTTAAGTTCCCAATGCCAGATTTCCATTTGAGTCTAGGAAACAGCCACGTAAATATATAATAAATGTTTGTCCCGTGTTTAGGATGCCAAGCAAATTGACCAATAAATGACTTGAGCGAGATGTCAAGTCATGATGGATTGAGTTCAATCCTCGAAAAATACAGCACTAAAGAAAAAAAAAAAAAAAAAACGGGTATTACAGTGACATGCCCTTGGAATGAAGTTGTGTTTTACGATTTTCTAATATTTGCTAAACAGGAAATACTCATAGCAAAATGATTAAGTTCCGACTCAATAATTCAAAAGTTTTCTAAATGTATTGTATTTTTAGTCCAGATCATAGGTTCTTTTATACTTCTATACTTCAACAATTGTGCTTGACTTGAACCGAGCGCGATTGTCCTAAATCTTCAATTAGTTAATTAATTCTTGATATGATTATCAACAGCTCATAGGTTTAACATTTTAACACACACATTTATATATTTTTTCACATACACATTCACATGCGGCTATGTATTATTCAAAATATATATTTATCTTGAGCGGTAGATTGAAAGGAAAAAAATTCCAAAAATCTTGCTTAAAAACTGTGTACGCGAACTTTAAATACTCCTTCCATTCAACAATTTTGGTTCCTGGTAAAACTCAGTTCTCTTGAATTGATGAAACAAACATTGTGATAGTATCATTTTCATTGTTTTTGCTTTTTGACCAAACGCCACGGGTAAATGATTTGCCTACTGGTAATTGGGGTTAACCAAACGACTACGAAATAGCTTTGAAACTTAACATTGACAAGACAAAATGCTAAACAGAGAGGAGGATAAAACGAAATGTTACGCAATGAATTTGTGTAAATTATCCTTTCATTCTCCTGTTACATGGTGTATCCCCATTACTCTAACGTCAAGCCGCAAACACTCTTCAAAACCGAAAGGAAGATAATCTCCACGTGCGTCACTGGATCAAAACTCCCGTTCAAAAAGTCACAAATCCCATTTCATTAAAACAAGCAGTTGTAAGTTGGAAGCCATATCTTTCAACATATAGCCACGAAACCCCCAAGATTTCGCATAGCAGGGCGTTTACATGTGGATAATCGGCGTTTCCGAGGACATAGAGATAGAATGCATCGGCTCACAAGGTTTACTTTTGAAAGATAAATCTTGTTTTTTTTTGTGGTGAAGGTATATTTGGGTATTGTGTATATAACCCTAAACCCAAGTGTAGAGATAAGAATTTATACACGGCATCTGGCTTAATTATCTTGATTTAAGCTCCCAGACCTCGTAGAGATCTACCCAATTGATGGGAAATCAGAAAAACTAACGAAGCTATCAACTGACTCATCACGCTGATACTGAATCATGCGTGTTGATAGTAACGGTCGCGAGAGCCTGACGCCATCAGATTAAAGCTTAGGTACAAAAAATATTGAAATATATAATATTATCTTTGCACGCAAACGTTTCCTTTCACATGACTGAACATGTTTGTAGCCTGGATTTAAAGTTAATATTTTCTAACATTTGGATAAACTTGAAACGGTAAAAATAGCTATAAAATACAGATAGGATTATACAAGGTTACAAAGCCAGTGACGTCATCGTTGCTGCACTCCACCCACTGATAAGATACATAAAGTAATGGTTAATGTAGACAAAATCTAATTGTGATCATATCTACTCCTATACAACACTAGCAATGCTTATCACATTTTAACTTGTAACGTTAAGATCTTAATGTGTTTTAAGTACCAAGGAATGATGAGTCAGGGAGTTGTGCCTAACGTTGGGATAGAAGAAAGTGTCAAATGTGATGTATTTCATATAAGAATGGAAGCTATGTTTGTGCGTTTTATCTTTAAAACTATCTAATGAAGAACATTTGGGTAAAACTGCAGTTTGTACAGAGTAGTAGGTAATTTCTCAAATAATATCCTTTCAAAAACTCTAAACCTTCTATATCTCAAATTTTATAACTATATCGATGTTTTATTGTAATATTCAATATAAGAAATAAAACAAAGAATTGGTCATTTACTACTGTTAATACCGTCAGTATTTATGTCTGAATTCCGTAAAATTCCAAACGGAAGTGTCTAGGTCAAACTCCGGCTATTTCTCACCTCATTGACTAGGTCATGATCTTTAAAATGCCTGGTATTTTCCACTCTATGGTCATAAACAGCCACTTACATGGCGCATTCTATGGAATCGGTTTTACGTGTCAACGTCTAGTGGGCATAGAAGAAATTAAAAATGGTCTACTGTCTGGTGAAGCATGAGTTAGGACCGAGCATATATATATATATATCGATATATTTATATATACAGTTGAATCTAGTTGTCTTAAAGTCTCATAGCTCGAAGATCCTGTATAATTCGAAACATTTCGTCAGTTCCTGCCTTACTTTACATAAACCATACGACCTCACTTAAATGGAATATTTGGTTATCTGGAAGTTTTCCCACGGTCACGCCGAATTCGAGATAACAGGGTTCGACTGTATCACTTTCTCAAGTTTTCATCACCATGTAATTCTTAGTGTCGATGTTATGACACTTCTATGATCCGGAAATTGCATTTTAATGATAAGATAATGTTTGGAGGCAATGTTATACATCAATCAAATGTATTTGATTTATTTATCAATGCGTGCGTTCTCAGTTACAGAGACAGCGTTATGATGGTTGTACAAAAGGCAATGAAGTGAATTCAAAAAGTGTATGATTTGACACCGAGCTTATTTTTATGTTTTGATGTTATTTTACAAAGTGAGCGGATATCAGTTAGGTTTCATGTATTTCTTTTCACAACCGCCCTCTTTCACGACCATCAGAATCCTGATCTATAATTTCAAACTACAACTAGAATATTTGATTTAACTTCCGGTTTATTTGTTTCCTAAAATAATTGGTGACGTAATCATGTCTGCTTTGCAATGATCGGCTTCATTCCTTCAGCCAATATTCACGTGCCGCCATAGTAACCATCCACGATATCATGTAAAAATTGAAAAAAGAAATAAGTCAATAAGTAACAGAGAATGATACAAGAAAACGTTAATGTTAGTATTTTTTTCGATGAATTCATTTGGTTGACGATGCCATAACTAATACCTACCTTTTTATATTATCAGGACGCGAATGCTGGAATTGATCGAGGAACAAGTAGGAAATACCCCACCAAATTTTAACGATGGTAAGTTAAAAACTTCTCTGATATATTAATTAGTCAAGGATAGGTGTGCATATCCACCTCATTGTACGTACACTTTAATTATGAATTATGTGTTCTGTTTTAATTAACACATTGTATCACTGTGGTAGAAGTCAAACATTATTGCTAAATCAATTCAATTTGGCAGTCTTATGGCCTATATAATTTACACACGGCGGAAAGGCAAAACTCGTCTGTTTTTGGAGATATACATTTGCTAGAAAAAAAAACGTACAATTTAACTGAATCAAAATGATTTTGTCCAGAAATATTATAGGATATTCGAAAAAATTTCCTCAAACGTTCATAATAGATTTGTTTTTAAATATATGTCATGTATTTTACATGAAGTTATTAGCCTAATTGGAACAGTGATGAATACACGTAACCGTACTCCGTATTTTTGAATGATGAAACGGCTGGCGTACTCTTAGAATGTAACCGTCAGGAAATACATAGATCTATTCATAGCCTATTTGATTTGGTTTTATTTTGAATTATGAAATATCTTGATATTTTAGGTTATTTTTCTAAATTGTACCTCCCGATGTTTAATTTGACATTCCTTTCAACCAATTTTGTTATGATTAAGAGCTATTCTATTTTGTGAAATACTTTTAGAAAGCAATCCTGAAGAAACTACTTTTCAAATTCAATACTTTCTGAAAAAATGTTGTTCAAACGTTTAAAAGACATTTCATCTGCAGAAATGATGACATCCACACAATGCATTTCGTCACTGAATGACAAAACAGATAGACGAAACACTCCATTATCTGGATCCTAATTTCAATCGTACGTCACTTCGCATATTCATTGGTACGTCATCTGTGGACAATGTACATTGACAGAGTGATCTGTCCGCGAAAAAGTAATTATATCGCATATTATGCTGTTGTGACTTTTGACAAAGGCATCAGAAATAAGATAGTGGTTTCAAGTGTTTAACCTTGGGTCAGGTCGGATAAGTGTTAACTCCAGGGCCAGGATGGGCAAATGTTTAACCTTGAGTCAGGTCGGACAAATGTTTATACCCTGGGTCAGGTCGGACGCATGTTTATACCCTGGGTCAGGTCGGACAAATGTTTAATCCTGATCAGGTCGGACAAGTGTTTAACCTTGAGTCAGGTCAGACGAATGTTTATACCCTGGGTCAGGTCGGACAAATGTTTACTCCTAGGTCAGGTCGGACAAGTGCTTAACCTTGAGTCAGATCGAACAAGTGTTAAACCCTGGGTCAGGTCGGACAAATGTTTAACCCTGGGTCAGGTAGTACAAGTGTTTAACCCTAGGCCAGGTCAGACAATAAGTTTTCCCTTGGTCAGGTCGGACAAGTGTTAAACCCTTAGGTCAGGTCGAACAAGTGTTTAACCTTGAGTCAGGTCGGACAAGTGTTAAACCCTTAGGTCAGGTCGGACAAGTGTTTAACCCTGGGTCAGGTCGGACAAGTGTTAAACCCTTAGTCAGTTCGGACAAGTGTTAAACCCTTGGGTAAGTTCGGACAAGTGTAAACTCCTGGGTCAGGTCGGACAAGTATTTAACCCTGGGTCACGTCGGACAAGTGTTTAACCCTGGGTCACGTCGGACAAGTGTTTAACCCTGGGTCATGTCGGACAAATGTTTAACCCTGAGTCAGGTCGGACAAGTGTTTAACCTCGGGTCAGGTCGGACAAGTGTTTAACCCTTGGGTCAGTTCGGACAAGTGTTAAACCCTTGGGTCAGTTCGGACAAGTGTTAAATCCTGGTGTCACGTCGGACAAGTGTTCAACCCTGGGTCACGTCGGACAAGTGTTTAACCCTGGGCCAGGTCGGACAATTAGTTTACCCTAGGTCAGGTCGGACAGATATTTAAACCTTGGCCAGGTCGGACAAGTGTTTAACCTCGGGTCAGGTCGGATAAGTGTTTAACCCTGGGTCAGGTAGTACAAGTGTTTAATCCTGGGTCGGGTCAGACAAATGTTTAACCCTGCGTCAGCTCGGACAAATGTTTAATCCTGGGTCGGGTCAGACAAATGTTTAACATTGGGTCAGGTCGGACAAGTGTTTAACCCTGGGTCAGGTTTGACAAATGTTAACCCTAGGTCTTGGCGGACAGGTGTTTGCTTCTGAGTCAGGTCGGACAAGTGTTTAATCCTGGTTTAGGTAGGACAAATGAGTCCTGGGTAAGGCCGGACAAATGCTTACCACTGGGTCAGGTCGGACAAGTGTTTAACTCTGGGTTAAGTCGGACAAATGTTTAACCTTTTGGTCAGGTCGGACAAATGTTTAACCTGGTCAGGTCGGACAATTGTTTACCTCTGGGTAACACAAGATCAGTGTGAATTCAGCAAGCTTCCGTTCCCACTAAGATCATAAGTAACTGGGAAAGTTAATCTCTAAGCTGAAGCCATACTTGGTAGGCCAATTGGATATCTAAGAGGAAAACAAAGGCTGAGCAGATACTCTGGAAAATATTCCGGGTTAGTATACGCAGGCCAATGGAATATCTAGCGAAAGCAGAATATACACATGTACTTGATTTTTTGTATAAAATTATCAGCTATTGCCCACCCTAGTTTGATAATGATGTCGCATGAAATAAGACATATCCAAGAGACTAAAAATATAAAGCTAAATTAAATTGATGATTTTAAAAATTCTAGGGACGGAGGTCATTGCATTAGGATACAACACTGCTATTATTAGAATTCTATACCGGAAGTGTTATATGATGTATATATATTTAGACGTTGAATACAAAAACACGGAAATATCTACTTAAATATGGCCGATCGATAATTGTTCCATCACCATCAATGAAATTATGTATCTGGCATTTCTGTAAATCTTTCATTTTATTATAAGTAATTAGGCCGACAAACACAAGGGAGAGATATTTATCTAAAGCAGGAGGGGGCGTGGTAGAGGGTAGCCAATATACACCCACATGTACACCACACGCACTAGTTATGACCATTAAGGCCGCGAGTTATCGCCAATATGACCTAGAACATTGGCCCCACGAGTGATTGTTTACGTATAATGTCGATTTAGTTTGCCAAAGCCTGTGACTTTGACCCACGGACCAAAGACAACGATTGACTCTTATGTTCTGAAACCCACACGATGACCTTTCTAAATCGCATAGGAAAACTAACCAAATGAAATTACTCTGTAAGCGAACTATGTACATTTACACCGAGAGAGTCGAACAAATGGGGAGTCGAGTTCGGTTCATTTTTGACAAATCGAGTTATGAACCCAATTATCAGACTCAAAAGAGGTTTTGTCAGCAGTGTTTTGTGTTGCTCCTTGTCGTATGCTTGTGTAAAGAAGATCTCTCATATTATAAAAGGTTATATATTATAAAATTTGAAAAAAAAATGCTTCAGTATCACGTGGACAAGAAGGTTGGCAGATAGACATTGGCATTAGCAGAAATTAATATACAGCTAAATATAACATCATCGTCATCGTCGGAAACTTGAATCCTTTGAAACTTAAAAATCATCGTGGTACCTATGCTATATAATATTTTTATATGTAGTTCTCCGAGTTCTATTGTGATACTACCCATATATATATTTGTATATATATGAAAACTAAGACTATATCATTGAAAAGTATTTATGAATAAGTAAAATTCAACCATTTTTAATCTTGAACTATAAAAAAGATTGTACAGAAGGCTTTAATTGTCATGCAGTTAAGGTTGAAACTCGGTAATACAGTATAGAACAATTCACTGAATCTGTTCCGTCCTTACATGTCTCCTCATTGAAGCTAGGGGTAAAAAGAATGGAAATTCCTGATGGAAAATAGGAAAATCTATTCAAGCCATTTGTTATTTTTTTTCCAGGTAATTAATACTGTCTACAACAGCATACGTGTGTGAAAGTACACGTGTTACACGAGAATGTCATGATACATGCATGTTTAATTAGTAATGACCTTATTCGCTGTACAAACAAATTGCACTCCGCTAAACCTGTTATCGGTGAATGATCTCCAGGCTATAGAGACAACCACCGAGACGTAGTTGACCTTGCCCGTCTTTGGATGGGTCATACATACCTTACACATTCATATATGTTGAAAGGCGGAGATAATCCTTGGTGCTTAGGATGTGATGAGAGCCATTCGCCCTGTTTTATTGGACTTCAGTGACCTTCTGTCTACTCGAGAACGTTTTTATCGTAACATTACATGTCTAAAATCCCTTTTTGAAACTGTTGAGATTTGTAAAATTCTATATTAATAGAAAGATATTGGTCTATTTAATAGACTATGACGTACCATTTAATCTTTTGTGTTAACATACCCATTTAAGATTTGTAACATTTGTCTTTTACCTTTTGGTTCGTTTAATGTTATTTCCTTTTGGATCGCTGTGTGTTTTACCGTTTGATGGCCCTGATGACCTTTTATGTGTTGACGGGCAGTTAAGAATTTAATAATAATAATAATAATAATATTCGCTGTACAAATTTTTGAAAATGCAAAAATGTTTAAAACCTAATAGTTCTCGATCCATGAAAATATCACTTTGAAATTTAATTATTACATACCAATTTGGTAATGATTGCATTAAATATAACCTTGTTAAGTTTTGGTTGGACACCAAATTGAATGTAAATTTCCGTTAGCGTAATCAATTTAATATTAGACGATATCAATATCACGCCGTGTAACCAATATTCATGGCAATTATACTCCATATTCTATCTACACAGTTAATGGTATTTGTGAAATCAGTGTGGTAATGTCTAAGCAAATGTGTTGTGAAAGAACAAAACCGACTCGTTCTTACCTACAATCGGTTACATCATTCATTCTACACTGATACTGTTACATGTGATATTGAATGTGTTTTATTATTCTACAAGGCCTTTTCATATCTGATCGTGCAATCAAATTATTTTACAAGTTTTCGTGCAGTGAGAGATGCTAGAATATGATGTTTATCATTCCAGTTTTCCAGAAATATCGAAGAAATGGGAAAAACATCCGACAAGCAGCGTCTATGTTATAATTCAGTAACGATAGCACGTCACTATTCCAATAAATGTCAGACAACGGCTACAATGATTTAAAATCGTCAACTAACATCGACTGCAGTCTTACTGTCTACTGCAATGTATAATAGATTGCTATTTTGGTAGTTTAAAAGCGTTATCAATGGAGAAACTCGAGCTCATATTTCACTCTGCGCACAACGGGTGAATGCCTTTTCAGTTGATCATTGCATTTGTGCTGGTATTATATTTCGTAACGAGTAAAAATCAAAGAAACGCATTTTTGAAACTCAATACCGTTCAGATTTACTGACAACTCCACACTTTTTTTATGCTTTTTCCTTTATTAGTCAAGTATACCGCCCAATCACGAGTTTATGGTTTTAGTTGTGTTGGAGAGGATTTTGACATAGCTTTTGCTCACAGTGGAGTTTTCCGAAGTCGCCTCCAGGACTTAAAAAATAGGCCTTAAGCATCACTCTCGAGTCTTCGAATGACGAAACAATTGTTTTAGGCAGTTTAAGTAAATATTTGACTCTTACTGTATTAAACTCAAATTTGTATTAAAAGGTTGTATTTATTTGTGTGTCTCTTGTTTCATCTTATTGCAACTTCAACTATTCCAAAATTTTAAACAAGATATAATTGTACCCAATGCGCAAATAAACATTTCGATATTTTTTGCATTTTTAGCCCACTATCATCAGATGGTGAGATATTCAAATCGACCTACGTCCGTGGTCCGTCCATGCATCTGTTCATCTGTCCGTACGTCCGTAAACAATTTTTGTTATCGCTATTACTTGAGATTGATTGGATGGATCTTTCTCAAATTTCAGCTGTAGGTTCCCCTTGGCCCCTAGTTGTATCCATTCGATTTTGGGACTGATAAAAAAGCATAATGGCTTACAGGCGGCCATATTGAATTTTGACTTGAAGGTTTGTGATCCATAATTCTTGAAAGGACGTGATGGATATCTCTCAAAATTCCTCTATTCCGCTTGGTCTTTTGTTGTTTCCAACTAATTTGAGGATGATCAGAAAAAAATGGTTGACAGACTGCCACCTTGGATTTTGACTTTGAAAGTTTGTTTTCGCTATTCCTTGAAAACTACAGCATGGATCTCCATCAAATTCCATCTATAGGTTTTCCCTGATCATTTATTTTGTGCCTGTATGACTAAACGACTGATCAGAAAAAACGAAATGGCCGACAAATGGCCATCTTTGAATTTGACTTTGTAGGTTTGTTATCGATATATAGTGCACAAAGAATATCTCTAAAATTTCTTCTGTAGGTTCCCCTTTAAAGTTTGTTATCGCTATTTTTTCGGAACTACAGAATAGATCTTTCTCAAATTTCATGTATATGTCTTCTTTGATCCCTAGTTGCGCTTGTGTGATTTTGGTACTATCCGAAAAAGAAAATGGCCAACAGACGGCTATCTTTTATTTTGAATTTGAATGTCTGTTACTGCTACTTCTTGGGAAATGCGACATAGATATTTCTCAGATGTCACGTATAAGTTCCTCCTTGGTTCTATTTGTGCCTGTTTGAGTTTGGAATCGATAAGAAAAACAAAATGGCTGACAAGCACCATATTCGATTTCGCAAAGTAAAGATTGTTATCCCTGATTCTTAAGAAGTACCGAAACGATTATTTTCAAATTTTATGCATATGTTCCTTTTGTCTCTAGTTATGCCCGTTTGATTTTGGGACTAAAAAATGGCTTCTGGAGCAAATGAAGATCAAAACAATGGTGGGCGCCAAGATCCCTCCGGGATCTCCTGTTGAATTTGTCTACAACTTTACCAAGCTAAACCATTTTGCTACACTTCATGAGCTATATATTGAAGTTATATTTTGACCGGTACAACAACCAATTCTATAGTGCAACGATCAATTACAAAAACGTATACGAATGACAGTGATGCCTATTTCTGTAAAAGTTATATGTTTGTTCCACCACAAGTTCCGTTTTTATGTTATAAACTTGCTAATGTTGGCTGGAAGTCAAAAGCTACTGCCACACAAAAGATTTAGAATAATGCTTCTCACCATGGTTTAATGCTATGGTTTTATTCCCATTTGAAAAAAAAAACCCTCATAAGTCATTTTCATGGCATCATCTCCGCACGTGCATTTTCACGTTATCTGATGTTAAATTGTATCTTTCTAGTTTTATTTTTTTGGTTGTGTAGTAGAAAGAAATCAATATATTAAAATCTGCCATGGGAAAACTTGTGAACTTGTACAATGATATAGATTTAAGTACATAACTATTACTCTCAATAACTTAACATTAAAGACAACATACAGTGATAATTTATACATTTTCATTAAGTCTGTGAGTAATGTTCAAGTTGTTACTTTCCAAATTATTCTTTTTATTTTTTTGCTATTTTTGAAATCAATTTGCTAAAAAACCACAGACACACGCACCCTTAAAATAGATTTGATAAAGAATGTTGTAGTCAGTTTCAAGGTTTGCGTGAAAGTGCTTTATATTTGGCTTTAAATCTGTGTAACACCGGGAACATTTCAAAACACGAAACATTTACAGTATATCATTACCAAGTTAGTATTTTCGTGATTCTAGATGTCTCTGAGGTTAACAACCTTCTATATTCAGAAGTGTGTTGTATAGTTATATCTGTGGTAAAGAAGGACATAATATCTCATTTTTAACTTTCTTAAATATGTTTTTCTTGCCACGAGGCAAGATGGATTTTTAAAAGATCTCATAACTTATTTTGCCGTTTTGAAACAGTACACTATCTATGTGCTAAAAGTTTTGTTCAAGGGTTTTTTGTTTTCGCTCCCATGCATCTGTGATTGACAGTCTGTAACACTTAAGTTGTTCAAGCATCGACAAAATACTAGAAGATAATACTTTGAAGATATCTTGCACAGACACACCTTACCCCATTTTCAGACAGAACATTCTTAAAAACACTTTTTATCAATACATATGATTTAAGGATGACTGAAACCTAAAATTGCCTTTTTATTTCATGCAGCAGTGGCTTGAATTTGTTAGACTGTTGACATAGGTACATATCATAATTAAGTAAACTTTGAGTCGGCATGGCGGATCGGGTAGAGTGAGTCTGCTATTATGTAACTTGTGACAGTGCTAATTTTAGTCTCAACTTCATCTTGGACGATTTTTCTTGATTTTCATATCATCAAATGTATCAACTATGAAATTATTTTTTTATTTTCTTTTTATATCAGACTTTCCAACGGAAGTGGAATGTGAACTTTATGTTGACAGTTTCGATTCAATCAATGAAGCTAATATGGTAAGTTAATGAATAAACGCAAAGTATAAACTATCAAAAAAAGTATTTCGGTTAGATTCGTATCATAAATTCTGTACTTTTGCTTTAAAATGATACAAGGTATAGATAGAATAATTCTTTGATCATTGAAAATTTCGCTATATTTGCGGTCATATAAGATAATGCAAAATTAGATATCCAACATTTTTCACAAAAAACTTCAAAGAAGATATGTATTATATTGGCCTTTTCATGGATGCTGCACAATACGATCTGACTATGAAATGTTACGACACCACACGGCCAAACAATGAAACATCATTACTCACAGTGAATATGTCACACTAAGTGACATGGTATACGTGTTTACCTGTTTACTGATTTTTCATCCCCATGATATAGCCTCAAACAAAACAATCCCAAAATATCAGCCTTGCTAAACGTAACTATACAGTAATAAAAAATAGAAATGTAACAAGGTTATGCGGCATTCATAGAAATTAATTCACCCGTAGAACCACATCTGAAAATAATGCATTCGTGAGATATCAAACTACAAACTTCTACAATTAAGGGCAGAATCTAATCTCTCAGTTGATGATATAGACATATATGTCACTTTTGATGCTGGTTATATAATATTGAATCATGTGTTTTCACCTTTCCTTTTTCTCCTTCAGGACTTCACCGTTAGTATTTTTATACATTTGATGTGGCAGGACCGTCGCTTCCTCACATGGGTTCGTCTAACTGACAATAATTCCTACATCGAAGCAGATTCTAAACGCTTAGCAAATCTGTGGGTTCCTGATATCTATTTTCCAAACGAAAAGAAAGCATTCTTCCATGATGTTTTCATGCCTAACAAAATGCTCAGGATATTTGGAGACGGGAAGGTATCGTACACTGCTAGGTATGTACATTTTACCACACCTCATCGACAACAACTGTTGTTTTCACATCAATATATCTTTACCTCGGTGTTAAACAGTACAAGTTCATGTACTGAAATGCACCATGTTCATTTGCAAAACAATACCGCTATCCCGAATTTTTTTTCGGTGTTCTTCAAGTTATGCTCGCATTATGATCTTATACTGTAAACTCATTCATTTTCGTGTGGGGTTTATTTCGTGGGTTGTCGTAATCCACAAATTGAAATGTTCACAATGTTCACTTATCATTAGTATGAATAGATTTCTATATTTGTCTTCGAAATTAATTTTTAAATGAGTTATTAAAAAAAATACACAAACCAGAACATGAAAATCGGGCCCCGCAAAATCATGATGTTACAGTAACTGAACTTAGAAATATGTTCTTTTTCGATCCTTACAGGCACTTAAATGTAGTCGGTCGTGCTGCTTATATGTATATGACTATAGAATTATATAAAACAAGCACATATAATATAGTTTTTATATCTTATTTGTAGTCAGTACTGATGAACGTTTTGAATGTCAATTTGATATTTTTTCACAGTTATTCTTACATATCAACGGTAAGATATCATTGGCGTTGTTTCCCCAATATTTTCCCTGGTAATCGCACGAAAGAAATATGATGTGTTTGTTTATAGATATGAATTAGTCACCCAATAATATTTTGTACTTTGGAAAATAATATTTTCAAAAATGAATTAAAAGGGAATACATAAAAAAACGCGATAACAATTAAGCTGTTTTGATAAGCAGATATCATGTTAGTGTGTACTTTACTATACTTTTCAACTTACAACGTACATGATAAATGATAAGCTTCACTTGAATGTAACTCGTTTAAGCTAAATTTACAGTATAAGAGACTCTGTAGTGGGTTTGAAATTGATAGACGAATCTAATCAGCTCCAATGAAGCCAGTACCATCACTAATATGATTTAATTTATAAAACACTTGTGTTGATTGTCAGGAAAGAAAATACTGTCTGATTTGGCACAGATCCAAATGTCTTTAACCTAATAATTTTGATTTGCTTTGAGTTAAACAGCCATCGAAAGTCAGGACCAGTTTGAATCGTGCTGCTTGTTAGAGAGCACGATGGAACTTATAAGTTCATATAGACATAGCCGTTCTGGTAGCATTACCACGTAAAACTGTTTTCAATATATCAATAAAAAATAATATTGCAATTCTAAGAACGCTACATTTTTCCATCGCAGACTTTCGTTGACACTTAGTTGTCCAATGGATCTGCACCATTATCCCTTCGATGAACAACGATGTCCCATAATAATGGAAAGTTGTAAGTATTGTTTTCAATGTAAACAATTCTACTATTTGGTAGTTCTGTGTAGTAGATTTTATATGTAGTTTTGAAAACGCAATGTAATATCAATTTCCTATTTTCTTATAGCATTGCTGTGTATTTTGGCAAACTGTTTTCATAGGTTCTGTGCACTGAACATTTTTTTGCTGAAATTTTCTGTTTTTCGGATACCGATACTATTTCTTATTAGCTGACATTATTCCAATTTCATTACAGTTAGCTATGATGAAAACAATATTATAATGAAATGGATGGGTGAGAATACAACAGAGGGAACAGAAGATGCTGTACGGATTAACCGGGAGATAACTCTGCCGCAATTTGAGGTGTATGACATTGCTTCTAAGAGCTTTAAGAGGGAGCGCAAAGGATCATATGGTATGTACCCATGATGAATATCGAAAAAGATTAAACTAACACCAATTGACATTTTTGCTATTTTTGAGGTTATCTTATAAACAGAAATAAAACAATTTCAACAAAATAGTGGTCATTTCTTAAAGGTCACTCAAAATGAATAATAAATTTATTTCCCTCAAATTTTCCAACTGGTCCTTCTTCCGGAAAATCACCAATGGCATTATGAAAATATATCGAAAAACAGTGACTTTAATACAACACATCAGGACGCTAATTTATACATATGAATAACCAAACACAAATGTTTCCAATTGCCAGCCCGTCACAGTGGTCTAAGGACAGAGTTCTTCCTGGCGAGGAATATAGGTTACTACGTGGTGCAAATGTATATTCCCAGTATCCTTGTCGTCATGTTGTCTTGGATATCCTTTTGGCTCAACGTCAACGCCGTACCTGGTCGGATAGCCCTTGGAGTGCTCACTGTATTGACTATGACGACACAGAGCTCCAGTGTGAACGCTTCCCTTCCTCGAGTGTCGTACACAAAGGCTATTGATATCTGGATGTCCGTTTGTTTGTTGTTTGTATTTGCTGCACTCATAGAATTTGCCGTGGCTAACGTCCTAAGCAATAAAGACAATAACAAAGGATTAAAACTTAAAAATATGTTTCATATACTTAAGCCAGGTGCTAAAAAGAAAAAGCCAAAAACTGAGGTAAGTTGAATAATAAAAAGATATAATAATGGAAATAAGGATTAAGAGAAATTTGAATGGATAAAACTTGCTCGTTTTGATACATTATCATTTCCTGTACTATAATTAATATATAGAAAACACGATAATGGCGTCAATTCCTTGTGGTATGTTAGATTTCAACAAATCTTATATTCATGTATTCAAATAATGCCTATTACAATATAATATATGTGCTTATATATATGCTACTAGACAGAGAAAAGTACACAGAGGCACATAAAGCCACATGTCAGGTGGCCATTTAGACTATCGGCTGGCCAATGAAAAAAACTAATTAGAAAAAAACATCCATTAGAGCTAAATGGTTGTATAAAAGTGATGGTTACAAAGAATTCGTGAATGCATTGTTTTCATATTGTGTTATGTGCAATATATGCAATGTATACATTGCTTCTCTTTATAGAACAGCCATAAGTATTACTTATCTAGACAGATAAAACTTTAAGTAGGCCATAAACACTTAAGCAGGTGATCAATGCGCTTACGTGTTACTATAATTCTAAACAGTTGTAAATCTGCGTTTCGTAAGTTTTGTTACGAGTTTTTGAATGGTGAAACATTTAATCACTTACGTTGGGAATTTACGTCAGATTGACTTGATTATAGTCTGCACGTCGTATCCATTTTATTACAAACTTAGAAACATACATATAGCACAGAAATGGTCCTTTCACTGCTTTTATTGTTTAACAGAAACTCGAACGATACCGAAAAGTCTCTAACTTAAGTGGGGGTTTTTTTTCGTTGATTTTGAAGAAATAAAAAAAATCATCTTTCCAACGATATCGTTGATAATTCTATAATAATCCTGTGGCACATCATTCCAGATACTTGTTGGCGAAGACGGCGAAATGAGACTCGATCCAGAACGGGACCCTACTGTCCAACGTAAAAAGGTGTCCGGCATTCTCTTCTCCATGTACCTGGATGTAGCCTCGCGGTTTTTATTTCCATTTTTCTTCGCCCTCTTCAATCTAGTATACTGGGCCCACTACTTATCCACCAGTTAGTGCGGGCATCAGTTTAGCGTTTGCTTCCAATAAACTTAGACCGTTATCATTGATCTCTCCATAGTGTTATATCATACAATGTTTATAACCACGTATATGCAAATATGTTTTTCTCTTTCGATACTTTGTTATTTAATGTAACCTCCGAAGTTTCCTTCTTAACATGTTAACACGTCATCCACTGTGTTAGCCATCTCTTATTGTAATATGACACTTGATGTACATGGCTTGCTTTCATTGATGTTTTGATCAGCATTAAAAATCCTGATTCACAAAAGTTCTTACTAACTCGGTCTGTAAAATTACTTAGAGTTTAAGAAGTAAGTACTAATACTAGTTACGGTTATTGCAACATGTTTATTGATGCTGAAATTAGATAAACATGCATCTTCTAAACAAAGATTTATGGTAACCTTTCAAAAAAAAATAATAATAATAATGATAGGAGAGAGAAAAGTATCTTATTCAGTTTCTGATATTTAATGTTACATAAAATGTATTCATAGTTATAATTATACTGTATCTCAAATGTATACGTTGAAATTAAAAAGAAATGAAGATTTTATCATAATATTGTTGATAATTTAAAATAATATGTTTTGCATTACGTACATGTAAAATGATACAAGTTTGGTTGTATCATTGCGTCGTTTACATACTGCTCGTAGTAATACAAATATGGTATGTTTTTTATTGTTACATTGTATATATGCTTTATCGAGTATAAAAATGGATTTAAACTGTTTTTGTAATTTGTGACTAATCATGAAGGTTACATTAATGTGATATCCTATCCCCTCATCGTTTGCTTAATTCTGACCTGCGTTGTCTTCATATTGTAAATAGATATGTCTAGTGTAGTATAATTTCCAATCACGTAATAAATACACTAAGATTCATCTGTAAAAAATGGATATTTGATAATTTGTGTCGAAGTAATTATATCTTTTATTCATATACAATTTTACACATTTGGAAATGAACAAATATGTAAAGTTAGAAACAAGAGTGACACAGAAGAGACTGATAACCTATACACTTTTCATTTTAAGTGGACCTAGATCCTCGTAAATCATGTCTATCTATCAGAATATATATCAGCTGATATATTAGTAAGTTTTCTATAATTATAAACATCATTCTTATATTAGCATTTTACTCCCTTCCTCGGTATAGGTATGTGAAATTCAGTAATCATGTGGACTCTAATATCATTTTCTCGAAGTCTTGTAAGTAGTACAAGGACACTGTGTTTCACATTGTATACCAAGGTGCAAAAGTAAGTGTACAAAAATGGTGTAAATAAGATTTATCTTAAGGACTTGCTTATACTATTATCAAATATGATGATAAGCTAATGCTATGCATGTTTCCACGTTATGAAGTATGTTTTAGTTATTGATGTTTCTGTTGAAAATATATCATCCTCAACATGAAAATATACTTACTTTTGCACTTTAGTCTAACTAAAAAATGCCAATATATATATATATATATAATGAAATTATGTTTAGGAAATCTGGATTGAAGCATTTTCTGATTATCATGTAATTTGAAATATATTGCCTATATCAACATAAAAAACAACTGCAGTTGAAATTAGCATCTACTCCATGTTGATTACCAATACAATTAATTTCAGTTTTGAAATAGTGACATAATATAATAAAAGATTCAAAGCTTTACAAAATAAAGAAATCTGCAACTGTATTATATCTGTTAATTATGGAAACTAAAAGATGTGATCGCTGCTATTTAAGAACATTGTATCGATAAACATTTAATCGAGATGTTTTTTGTAAAATATGTTTGCCTTTTATTCTGTATAAAACTTATTAATGCAGTCATGATGTTTAAAAATGTTATGCATGATCAAGGTGTAGATACCTTATTTCACACATTTCCTGTTATGTGAGAGGACGTGCAATTGTGTCTGTATGAGTGATCAACTTAATATTAACCTGTTGTATATCGTTTACTGTATAACACATGGTTATAGTCTTGCAAGTTTATGTGTTAATATATACAACAAAAACATGTTCAGACGTGTATTTGTAGTTAATGCATAATACAAGTAAAATAGTTACTAGAAACGTTTTCTTTTTAACACTAATATCACTTATCAGAATGTTATGCCATGAACCATTGCAATGTTAAGCAGAGAAGACATATATTTCAACTGTCCCACTAAGTCACATTACAACAGTGCGACATTGAGCATTATACTCTAAAATTAAATAAAACAACCATTGATCCGTTCAAGAAATATATTTTATTTGAAATAGATATAATACTTCCACAGCATCTTATTGTGATGTTCATTTTTAGAAAAATAAACAACAAAATGTTGATATTTCATATATATTTTTATTGATTTGTACACTCTTAATGTTCTCAAGAAAACTAATTGATATCTTAGCTTGTGTAACAACTGTATACGTCGAGAAGTGCTATCTTAAATCTACAAGAAAACCATACACTTTGGAACATTTAAATATCCCCATGCCGAATGTGCCAGTCGTAAAGAAGTCTCTATCGCACAATCAACATGCATTCAATTGTATAATCTTTTGATATTCTTTATCTGAAAATTAGATCTTAGAGATAAAATTTCCATGAAGACCCATGCTGTATATATTTATATATATCATAACAAAGCAATGCTTTACTTAGTCATATTCTCAGAAACATATTTGCTACTTTACATAATATGCAATGGATAACACATGCAGGCAACTGAGATATAATTCGGCCGAAATACTTATAAAAATGAATAAAAAAAAAAATAAATAAAAAAATACGAAATCAAAACAAAATGTTATGATTCAAAGTATATATAAACATTTGCAACAGTTAACCCTAACCGTTTCTAATGACGGCAATGAGAAGTGAAATACCCCGCTGTTGTATGATTTTACCAAACAGATTGGGATATGTGTTGGTTTGAATATAGGTGACCAGGAAGCTTGTTATTTGATGAAATGTGACATTAATTAACAAATGGGCAATGTCTAAAGTCCAGATATCTAGGCAAGCCACGTGAATATTATGAATATTATGTAGCGTTGAAAGTAGCAGTTAAAGCAAGTAATTAATCAAAATATTGTAATATGTGTTTTTCATGTTTCTCACAAACTCCATGGCCTATGAAATATTGATCAAGCATGAAAAAACAGTTAATTCTTTAATGTTTAATGTTTAGGAAAAAACATTATGTATGTAAATAATATGTAAAGGTTGTTATATGCTTCTAATTAATGTAAAGCAGAATCCCAGTTGAATTGTATGATTTATAATTTAGTTAATGCGAGAGTATACATGCCGATTGGTATAATTGTGATATTGATAATTTGGTTATCTGTACAATGCTTTAAGATATCTGACCTATCTCGTTGTAATTATCGTAATATGATTGTACTGATATTAACGCCTCATATTAATATTGATGACATATAATGCCTGGTGAATCATCTGTTTGCTACTCATTGGTAAATATGTCACGGTTTACAAACCAATAACCGTCAGTCGATTTGTGGTTTATCAATCAATAACCGCCAATAGCTGCATGGTTCAATAACCAATATCATCAGTCGATCAAGGGTTCGCCAAAGAAAAGTCGCCAGTCGATTCACTATCTGTTAATGAATCATTGTTTGTCGAAGAAAGCTAACTAGCTGCTGGTGACACTATGTGATAAGTTGCAAAAACAAACAAGCAAATGATACATTAAGTCGTTATTTACCTAGGCATCAGAGGAATCGTAATACAACAATTACCACCTCTCTTGGAAGTCAAGTTCTTGGAAAACGAACCTGGACAGTCGTTTTGAATAATTATTAGGTTTCGAATAGCTAGCGAGTAATTTTTTCATACCTTCTGAAGATATGGTGTTTCTTAGCGCGCAACCGTTTGATAAGTCTGTTGTTATTGGTGTGTAACCGACTGACGACGTGATTTTTTTGAGTGTCCAGACATATGACGAGCTGGTGATTATACGTATCTAACATTGATAATCGTTACTGTCTAACGTTGGTTATTATTAGTGTCTAACGTTTCTAACATTAGTAATCATTTGTGTTTAGCGTTGGTTATCATTGTTATCGGTATCGAGCGTTGATAATCATTAGTGTCTAGCGTTAGTAATCATTCGTGTCTAACGTTGATAATCATTAGTGTCTAGCGTTGATAATCATTAGTATCTAACGTCGGTTATCTCTAGTGTCTAACGTTTCTATCATTTGTAATCCTTAATGTCTAACGTTGATTATCATTAGTGTCTAGCGTTGGTATTGGTTATCATTATTGTTTAACGTTTGTAATCACTAGTGTCTAACGTTGTTAATCACTAGTGTCTAACATTGTTAATGACTAGTGTCTAATGTTGGTATTCATTACACCGGTAATCATAAGTGTCTAACGTTGGAAATCATAAGTGTCTTACATTGGTAATCATTAGTGTCTAAAATCTGTAATCATTAGTGTCTAACGTCGGTTATCATTAGTGTCTAACACCGGTAATCACTATTGTCTAACATTGGTAATCACTAGTGTGTTACGTTGTTAATCACTAGTGTCTAACGTTGGCAATCACTATTGTCTAACGTTGGTTAATCGTTAGTGTCTAACATCGGTAATTACTAGTGTCTAACATCGGTTATCATTAGTGTCTAACACCGGTAATCACTAGTGTCTAACTTTGGTAATCACTTTTGTCTAACACCGGTAATCACTAGTGTCTAACGTTGGTAATCACTGGTGTCTAACGTTGGTTAATCGTTAGTGTCTAACATCGGTAATTACTAGTGTCTAACATCGGTTATCATTAGTGTCTAACACCGGTAATCACTAATGTCTAACGTTGGTAATCACCAGTGTCTAACGTCGGTAATCATTAGTGCCTAACGTCGGTAATCATTAGTGCCCAACGTCGGTAATCATTAGTGTCTAACATTGGTAATCATCCGTTTCTTATCGACTTATTAGATCACACAGTCATTAATTATCGTTTAGGGAGTCCTAGTTTATTATAGTCTAATCGTCTGGTGAATTTTCCAATTAATGAATAATCTGGTGAGATATGTTGCACTAATCATTTACTGTAAGGCGAGTCACAATGTAAATATACAGGCGTGGCTTCAATTTGTTCGAATGCAAGAAAGTAATATGCAATGTTGTTTTTATATAAAATAAATAACCTTATTAACATGTACATGTAGCTAGACACATTTTATGCACTATACAATAGTAATATGATTAATAATCTATTTCTTATTGCGTCCTCCAATGATTATGTATCATCTCATGGGTTCTTTCACGGAGTAGATGGTTTGTTATGCGTCATACTTTATTGTTACTTGCTGGACTATGTATAAGACGTCTGTGATTGTGAGGTTGCTGTGGAAGCGTGGACGAGATATGACTGCTTTGTATCTGTTGATATGATTTTATTAATTTTACTTCAATAAAATATACATGTCAACCCCAATCTCTAGTTTTACATTTTTTTTATCAAGTTCGGCTGCTAACGATAAATATTCTCGATAGTGTTAGAGCCATAATTGTCATTGACATCTTAGATAAGACCAAATGACACCATAACTTGCACATTTTACGGGATATTGAAACATATCGTGTAGCTTGTAATCTTTACTGTTCAAAATTGAATTACATTTCAACGAAATGAAAAAATCAGGATCTGGATTTGGAAGGACATGTAATAAACATGTGTCCAGTTATTTGACGAATTAATTTTTCGCAATCAACTTACGGTTCAGAATATAGCGAAATTTCATTTCCGGCGGGCATGCGGTGCCCCATTTGAGTGAAAAACCGAATAGGGTATGTTTACAACTTAAAGTGCAATAATGCACTGGTACATACACAAACTATGTCAAGAAACATTGTACAGTTACCAGTTATTAGGAATCTAAACCTTTTTCCAAAGTACATGGATATATCACCTATAATCTTCGTGAAAACATTGATCCAAAATTGTTTCCAAGAAACTTTCAAGAGCCTTCAGGACAATATTCAAGACCCAAATACTCATTTCAAATCCTTGGTCATTGTCTCAACATTATAGGACTAAGTCAAAGTGAAAGTTGTTAACACAAACAGTGTTAAGTTATGGACATATGCTACAACAATGAGGAACCCTCCGCTGCTATACTGCCTATTCTTAGCCTGGTATTTCATTAGAGTTATGTATAACTTATATAAAGGAATCACAAGTGTGTGAGACTAGACTAGGTTAATGTGCCCACGTCATAAACATAGACATGTGTTCTTATTTTACACATTAAATACGCACTTAACGTTAATCAAAATTATATATTGTTATATCAAATTTCAACAAAGTCTTCATATGTTCATAATGGTTAGTAGTAAACAAATTGATATATATTTCATGTTCTCATTTATAAAATGTAATTACATGTTTCTTGCTTTTCATGGAGTAATGAATGCATTTTAAACCTTTACGTGGGGTTAAATTGCTGCGTATTAAAAGATACTTAACGGCAGTTTTCATTTATTTGTATGTGGATATTCTTTCTGAATAGGAGTACGCCTTAATTATCTCCAAACTTTCAAATAGAATGTATTATTTATATACAGGTTCTTATAGGTTACCGTTCAGATCAATGATAATGATTTTATAAAACTTTTAACCTGGATGTAATAGCGCTTATTGTAAAAACTGTGCCTCGAAATGATAAAACTTGTGCACGAAAAGACTATTTGAAATTGCCAAAGAGAAAATTAGAGAGAGTCAACAGTAAAAACCTGGAATGAATGACACTTATCAGACTAATAGTTAAAATAATACACACCAGAGCTTCGAGAACTGTTGACATTCATTTCACAAAAGCAGCGAGAAGGAATCTTGATTTCAAAGAGTAGTAACAGGAAAATATACCCTTTCTAGAATAATCAATTGAAATATAATGATGATACATTCCAGTGAAAATGAGAAACACATTGACGGGAATGAGTTGAAGATGTTACAAAAACAGATCAAGGTTATAGACGAAATCAAGCTGAAGTTACCAGAGGATAAACATTTACTGATGAACAGGAAACTGAGATGTGTAAAAGGAGAGGAAGAGACGGCTACTTCAGTTATGAAACCCGCTAGTCAAATCCAATTATTGTATTACCCTTAAAATAAGATGCTGGATGATGTTGTAAACTGCATCTGTCATTGAAATGAGGATTAAAACCAACGACTTGCATGCCATTGTTTTCTTTTTAACGCATGTTGTCTTTCAGCAGTGGAAATCTAACACGCTAATTCTGCGATTTTCAGCAGAACGCAAAGGGCTTATTAAATTTGACTTGTAGTCACAGTTTGGGTAAGGAAGCAGGACAGTTAAAATCGAGAAATAGAGGAAAGTATATAATACAACAGACGACAGTATGTAATACAATAGAGGAAAGTATATAATACAATAGAGGAAAGTATATAATACAACAGAGGAAAGTATATAATACAATAGAGGAAAGTATATAATACAATAGAGGAAAGTATATAATACAATAGAGGAAAGTATATAATACAATAGAGGAAAGTATATAATACAACAGAGGAAAGTATATAATACAATAGAGGAAAGTATATAATACAACAGAGGAAAGTATATAATACAATAGAGGAAAGTATATAATACAATAGAGGAAAGTATATAAAACAATAGAGGAAAGTATATAATACAATAGAGGAAAATATATAACAAATAGAGGAAAGTATATAATACAATAGAGGAAAGTATATAATACAATAGAGGAAAGTATATAATACAACAGAGGAAAGTATATAATACAATAGAGGAAAGTATATAATACAACAGAGGAAAGTATATAATACAATAGAGGAAAGTATATAATACAATAGAGGAAAGTATATAATATATATATAACAAATAGAGGAAAGTATATATATAACAAATAGAGGAAAGTATATAACAAATAGAGGAAAGTATATAATACAATAGAGGAAAGTATATAATACAATAGAGGAAAGTATATAATACAATAGAGGAAAGTATATAATACAATAGAGGAAAGTATATAATACAATAGAGGACGGTTTATGTTACAATAGAGGAAAGTATATAATACAATTGAGGAAAGTATATAATACAACAGAGGAAAGTATATAATACAACAGAGGAAAGTATATAATACAACAGAGGAAAGTATATAATACAATAGAGGAAAGTATATAATACAATAGAGGAAAACAGATCACACAGGAGAAAAAGTGAATAATTAAGAACAAATAAAGAAGGACAAGGCCGAAGAATTTATCTGAGGAAATAAACAAGTAGAGATGACGGTAGTGTGATTGAAATGGTAAAGTCTAGTCAGAAATAGTGCGGAATTAAATTCCAAAGTGACGCTTGGTATCAAGTAATGAAAACAGAAAAAATCCTTGTAAATTGGTTATCGCAGAAGATATCTCTTTTTTCCACTATTTTTGGTATTTAGTTTACAATATGAAAGATCTTAACAGGTGGTCAGAGAAAATACATGGTGTTAATATTACTGATATCAGTGCTAAACATTCCATTTTATCGTAAATGTACGATTGGCACACGTCACACAAAGGGGAATGGTTTCACTGACGTTAATCCGTGAAAAACATTCCAAATCAGATAACGCCAAGGAGCTCATACACATTTGTTATCATTTATATAAAATACTGGTTTTTAATCATTATTTTACGGTCAATCAAGAATGAAGATGATCAAGATTCTTAAAAACATATCAGAGAGGGACGCATGCAATACAATATACATGAAATTAAACTTTCAAAAAAGAGGTATTTATAAATTATTTTTTGTTAAATTAATTTTGTTAATTTTCCGTCTACATCTCTTTATAAAAAATGGCATCATCTAAAAAAAAAAAAAAAAAAAACGCAGCTTAATCAAAATGTTGATGTAAAAGGGATGTAGCTGTCACGAAAGCTGTGAATTTGATTGATGTCTTCTATAATGGTCCTATTTTCAAGGTATTCTGTTTTCGCGATTGTTACAGTTTTTCAATTTTAATCCAAGTTTTGAATTAGAGTAGAGCCAACTGATAAATTAACATTGAGACAGTATACATAAGAGACAGAGAAGTTACCATTTACTCCGAAATAATATATTTTTGTGCGACTCCTTTTTGGTGTTGTTGCTGATGTTGTTCTTGGAAACGGCACGAAGTCATTAATAAAATATTTCAATTTTTTTCATATTTTAAGTTTAGTTTATCAAATCATGAAGGGCTGTTCTCCCATTATTAAACAGCGTTTCACATATAAAGAACCGTTGTCCACAAGTTTGTTTAAAAATATAAACACGTAGGTATTACCTTGTCATTTCTTATCTTAATTAGTTCATTTATTGATTAATAGAAGTCATTAGAAGAAATTATAAAGAAAATACATGGTTCTTCGAGTGCGTACTACTGGCGAGCAAAATGTGCACATTCATTGCAATAGTGACGTGAACCATAGAATATAAATAAAGCATAATAAGTAAAAAAAAATCAATACCCATCGAACCTTTACATGTTTAGTTTAGCAGGGGCTCAGTGGTAAGTTACTCGAGGTATGAGATGTGATAAAGTCTCCAGAGAATGCGTCTCTATTGAAGTCATTGCGTCATACGGCTAGACGGTCAAAATTGGCTACAGGAAAGGAATTTTGTGTGAAGTGATTATACTGAGGAATGTAGAAAATGTTTGTGTTTCAGAGATGGCTTGAACCTGAGATATATCCACACATGTATGTATATAATTCAGTATGATTGAAACTGGACCCAAGCGTCTGTTTTTTTTAAAATTGTATGTACATTGCTGAACGTCTGGAGTGATCTTTTGAAATACCACAATAGTACACATACCTTTCTTCACCACAATAATATCAATCAGTTAATAAATCAATCAATCAATCAATCAATCAATCAATCAATATTTTGGTAGTATAATTTATTTTGCAAATCGGTTTCGTATCAAATGAATGGAATCGATTTTATTTTTTCTCGATATATTTAATACTTCATAGTCAAAGCACAAAAATGTGAATAGTATAAGTTAAAGAAATGGTTAAGATTGAAATCAAGCATCGCTAGAGAGAAAGGTCCCATTTCAGATATTCTTCATTGTCAACATATTTGCTTCATGTAGAAACAGGGGAGGGGACTTTTGTACAACGGAATCCAAAAAAGACTAAAAATATTGATAAAGTGCGGAAATGATTGTTAAACAATATATATACCAACATCTTTGAAACAACAGCAACCGTGAGTCACTCTTACACCACTCACTATTGTAACATGTGGCGGATGAAACATTACTCGGTTCTCATTCACGTATAAATCTGCAAAACATATAAGATAAAATACAACGATCTTCTTAAAAGTGACTGGTGTACCTGCTCACCTGTATAAGAAACATCAGGAATTATTCACAAGTCTTGAATATAAATCTGTTATGCCA